ACTTGGACCAATACTATTTACTTTATATATGCTGGCAGCTGTGGTGCAGAGGCAGAGCGGGTCGTCCCCTAATCAGAAGGTTGTTGGTTTTCGATCCCCGGCTCCTCCTGCACACATGTCGAAATATCCTTGAGCAAGATACTGAACCCCAAACTGCTCCCGATGCTGTGCATCAGTGTGTGAATGTGTATGAATGAGTTAGTTTCTGTTCGATGGGCTTTGCCATCACTGAGTGAATGTGTGCGTAAGGGTAAAGTGTGAAAGGTGGTTGGAAGACTAGAAAGGCGGCTATACAAGTACAGGTCCATTTACCATTTACCATTACCATATAACGCTCCAATTATATGCTTCCTTTAGGCAACATTATTAGGAATCACTCCATTAATCGAGCCCGATGTAATTAATCAATTATCTAAATTACAAACATGTCCTAAGGACATAAAATCCTGGATGAGCTGCAATTTTCTGATGTTAAACTCAGAAAAAAATTAAATTCTTGTACTTGGCCCCAAAAACCTCAGAGACTCATTGTCTAAAGATATAGTTACTCTAGATAGCATTACCTTGGCCTCTAGCACCACTGTCAGGAATCTTAGAGTTATCTTTGATCAGGACATGTCATTTAATTCCCACATAAAGCAAACCTCTAGGACTGCCTTCTTTCATTTACGTAATATTACAAAAAATTAGACACATCCTGTCACAGACGGATGCAGAAAAACTAATCCATGCATTTGTTACTTCTAGGCTGAATTACTGCAACTCCTTATTATCAGGCTGCCCCAATAAGTCCATTAAGATGCTCCAATTAATTCAGAACGCTGCAGCACGAGTACTGACAGGTACTACGAAAAGAGATCACATCTCTCCTGTACTAGCTTCTCTGCACTGGCTCCCTGTAAAATTTAGAATAGAATTTAAAATCCTCCTCCTCACCTACAAAGCTCTTTATGGTCAGGCCCCTTCATATCTTAAAGACCTCATAGTACCCTATTACCCCTCCAGAACACTGCGTTCTCACAATGCAGGGCTACTTGTGGTTCCTATAGTCTCAAAAAGTAGAACAGGAGCCAGAGCCTTCAGCTACCAAGCTCCTCTCCTGTGGAACCAGCTTCCAGTTGTGGTTTGGGAGGCAGACCCCAACTGGTCGAGGCAGACGACCACCCACCTAGAGCCGAAGGATCTGTCATAGGTTACTGCCTCTTAAAAGGCAGTTTTTCCTTGCCCCCGTCGCCAAGTGCTTGCTCGTGGTGGTACTGTTGGGTCTCTGTAAATGTTTAATGAGTTTGGTCTAGACCTTGGCGGCTGTGGCTCAGAGGCAGAGCAGGTCGTTCCTCAATCTGAAGGTTGTGGGTTCGATCCCCGGCTCCTGGTGCCACATGTCGAAGTATCCTGAACCCCAAATTACTCCTGATGCCATGCATCAGTGTATGAATGTTAGTTTCTGTTTGATGGACTTTGCCATCACTGAGTGAATGTGTGTGAAAGGGTGAATGTGGCACATAATGTAAAAGCGCTTTGAGTGCTTGGAAGACTAGAAAGGCGCTATACAAGTACAGGTCCATTTACCTGCTCTATTTGAAAAGTGTCCTGAGATAACCTCTGTTATGAATTGGCACTATACAAATAAAATTGAATTGAATTGAAGTGACTAATGACAAGTTTTAAATTTGGTCGAGTGAAAGTGCTGCAGCCACAAAACGAGCTACAGCAGCGTCCTTCTGGGCAATTGCACATCGTCGTCAAGTCCATTAAGGGTGCTTGTTTTTGCTACGGACAAGCTCTGATTGTTATTTTAAGTATCTGACAACATTATGGAAATTAATCTACAGAGAGATGAAGGCGATCAGGATTATTTTTTTAAATATGTGACAGTCAATGATATCGTGGACACAGTACTTTTTAAAATAAAATAAATAAAGATAACCATCTTTCTCTAATCTTAACTTTGTTTTCTGATAGCCTAAAACTAACAGCACATGAGATTAGGAATGTAACAATATATTGTGAGCAGCACCGCAACACAAACAAATGAGGGCCCCTCCGCAGCTAACGCCTTAAAGAGCTGGCATTACATAGAGAGAATACTTGTTTGTTGGGGGCACACCGGTCTCTCTCACACAGGCTCCGGGGCAGAAAAAACTATTGTGAGCAACTTTATGCAAATGAGGAGAGGACCACATGACGCCTGTCTACCAGAATGCATTGCACAGCTGTTTAGTTAGACAATGAATGGGAAGTGTGGAAAAGACTGATTCTGTGCATGTGGAATAATGTGACTTTTTAACATCTAACATCAAACTACTTTCTAAGTCTCTGTTTTCCTGCACAGATAACATCTGCATTTAAGCTGCTGTTGTGACGTTTGGAGTTCAGGTTGAATGGAAGCAACCGAATGAATCGTGAACGTTTTTAAGGTGACCAGACAGGAAGCCATTAGCAGAGTGTGGTCATGTTTGAACATGTATAGCTGCTGTTCTTATGCAAACACACACAGATGCAGTTGTTACGTCAACATCATGTGGGAAAAGTAATCACAGTGTGGAGATGAAAATAAAAAAGCCACAGTTAAGCAGATCACCTATGTGGACTCAAAGATATGAACATGATCAGTAAATAGGAGGTGCATAAATCAGAAATTAGAGGGGAAATCATCAAATCAGTAAGAGGGACTTTTTACAACCTGGCAAACCAAGTTGTTGTCTTCTTTCTCTTGACTGTTTCAATTTTTTTTTGTAGTATGATCCTCCTGTAGTAAATGGATGGTAAATGGACCTGTACTTTGTATTTGTAGAGTGCCAATTCATAACAGAGGTTATCTCAGGACACTTTTCAAATAGAGCAGGTAAATGGTAAATGGTAAATGGACCTGTACTTGTATAGCGCCTTTCTAGTCTTCCAACCACTCAAAGCGCTTTTAGACTACGTGCCACATTCACCCTTTCACACACATTCACACAGTGATGGCAAAGTCCATCGAACAGAAACTAACATTCATACACATTCACACACCGATGCACGGCATCAGGAGCAATTTGGGGTTCAGTATCTTGCTCAAGGATACGTTGACATGTGGCACAAGGAGCCAGGGATTGAACCCACAACCTTCCGATTAAGGAACGACCTGCTCTGCCTCTGTGTGCTATGTGCTGCAGAACAGGAATAGTGGTCAACCGATATGGGTTATTTAATGGCCGATGCCGAAATTTAGAGAGTAGGGCTACAGATGGCTGACATATAATGCCGATATCAAAACAAAAAATATCATGTATAATTATATTTTATTCTATGGGAAATTCAGACATATGTGTACCGCACCACACAATAACCGAGTTACAGTACAGGGTTGACTGATTGAACAGGAACCTGCCTTTTTTTACTGAGTAAGGCCAGTTTATGTATAATTCAATTCAATTCAATTCAATTCAATTCAATTCAATTTTATTTGTATAGCGCCAATTCATAACAGAAGTAATCTCAGGACACTTTTCAAATAGAGCAGGTCTAGACCGAACTCTTTAAAACATTATTTACAGAGACCCAACAGTACCACCATGAGCAAGCACTTGGCGACAAGGGCAAGGAAAAACTGCCTGTTAAAAGGCAGAAACCTAGGACAGATCCTCCGGCTCTAGGTGGGTGGTCGTCTGTCTCGACCAGTTGGGGTGAGAGAGAGAGAGAGATAACAAATGCTCAAGGTCCAGTGTGTAACATTTATTGACAGAAGTGGAATATAATATTCAGAGGTATGTAGGTAGGTTTTAATTAGTGTATAATCACCTGAATATATGAATTGTTATGTTTCTGTTACCTTATAATGAGCCGTTTTTATCTACAGGCACCACGGGTTACCTTTATTGAAGTCCGCCATGTTGAAGCACCATGTTTCAGCAGTCCAAAACGGACAAACCAAATGCCGGCTATAGATTTTTGAATTTTGCTCTTACCATAGTTTCTTTTTCACGCTTGGCATGGCAGGGTGAAGCGAAAGAGTCTGCAACTACACTGCTAAATGCTACTAAATCCTACCTTTGACATCTGTAATGTTACGTTTCCTTTATAATTAGGGATGGGAATCAAGAACCGGTTCCAAATTTTTATGATCCATCAGAATTATGTGCCCCTTTTATCAATGCCAAGTATTTCTGACAGTTACTCACTACAAAACAATGACATCAAACTCACGTGTCTACACTACGGCTGCACCATAAATCCAAATATTATCGTAAGCTGCAAGTTTTTAATAAAGGTCAAATGTGTGAATGTGCATTGTAATGAAGTACTGTAGTGCTGCAGAGATGCCCTGACCTACAAATCTTGATTTGAGATTTAAGAAAACATGTTTGTTTGGTACAAACAAACATGTAAAAGATTATCACTAATCATACGAATCACAAAGTTTTTTTTTTTTTTTTTTTTTTTTGTTTTTTTTTTTTTTTTTTTTTTTTTTTTTTAATAAAAAAAAATAAAAAATTTTTTTTTTTTTTGAAAACCTCTTCCCCCTTTTTTTACCCAAAAAACTGATCAGGAATCAATACTAGAACCGACAAAGATGAGCAGAATGGACAACACTATTGGAATCAAAAAAATCTTATCAGTTCCCATCCCTATGTATAATAACGAAAAGTTATTTTTATTGATGGCTACTGATCTATTAAGCATTGCCTTGATACAATTATTTGAACCTGTTGGGTTCAACTTACAACTCCTTTATAAAAGCTTTGTAGAAAGTGGTAGCTAGTTTTTAAATTCCTAGCTTTGGACAAACCACAATGACTGTTAATTCATGCTCATCTATACTTCATACAGTGAGTTAGAAAACACTTCAAATAATCAAATGAATGAGGACAGCGTGGATGTTTCATAGTCTACAGGAAATTAAACTAAAATCCAACCAGCTCTGATTTTGATCAACATATGCAATAGAGTGAAATACGGAAAGCACTGAGTCTATACTGAGAATGAAACAAACCATGTTAATTGGTTTGTTACTTACTCACCATGCTGTCGTAGTGTATCAGCTCCAGCTCGTAGTCCGGCAGTATGTCGGTCCTGTTATTCACCAGGTCCATGGCCATCTGAGCGGCGGGGAGGCAGGCTTGTCCGCCGGGCCAGCCTCCGCTCATGGGGAACAGGGCTCCGATGTAAAGCTTCTTCTTGCCTAGAGCCGAGCGGGAGCAGGAGAGGAGGACAGTGAGGGTGAGGGTCAGAGAGCAGCGGAGGAGGCCTTGGCAGAGCCGGGCCATGATAGTTGGAGGATGCTGGAGGCTGATTGGGGCTCTGTGAGTTCAGGTTGCTCCTGCAGTAGCCTACTGCCGGAGGCTGAGGCGGACTAACTGTGCGTGGGTCAGGAGGAGCTTTGAATTCCCATGAGCGACACAAGATGATTTTCTCACAGATGGCAGCACATTTAGAATATTAATTTATGGCAAACATAAAGGTTAGTTTGACTGCTTTTCTGTTGCAAAAAAACATATAACAGCTGATAAATAAATAACTTAATATGAAACAATTGAATTCAGCTCATCTGCTCTTCCATGCTTGGATATGAACTTCATAAACCCTCAACTCACTGAATGCAATCAACAAACAGCAGAGGAAGTAGGCTACTGTGATGAACAGAGACCGTTCACACAGGAGAAGGCTGGAGTTGCAAACTAAACTTGAATATTTAATCGATATTTAATCCGGATTTATGATCCGAGGATCTGAAACTAAACTCAGTCTGTTTACAGAGATAACAGAAAGCCTCCCTTCCTCCTTATGCAATATTAACAAAAACCCACACTGAGCTCATGAGGATGAGCATCGTTATGTCCGGATACACTCGTCATCTGCCCTTCCTCAGCCTCCGCCTACGTACAAAGCGCAATACAGGAGCAATGTTAAGGCGGTAATCCGACGCAGTCTAACGACAGAGCGGTCAGTCTGACAGCAAGGTCGATCCGGAGAAGGAGAAGTCGCCACAGTGTTGCTGGAATGCGGTCAGCCCTTCAGGAGGAGAAGACAGACGAATGACGGTACCAGCGCGGAGCTCCGAGTCTGACTGCAGCAGCAGCGTGTGAGGGAGAGGAGGAGGGAGAGATGGAGGGGGAGGTGGAGGAGGAAGAGGAGGAGGGATGTTCAGTCTCTCTGTTTCACAAACCACTTTGAATTTGCAATCCCTTAACACAGCCCCGCTCATTTATCTTCCCTCCTCCCGCTCTCTCCTCCTTCCGCTCCTCCGAAAACAACACCCCCACCTCCGTTTGTCTTTACACATTGCTACACCTACATCGACAAATGGTAAAGTCCAGTTAAAATGAAAAATGACTTTTTAACTCTTTAAGATTGTATCCTCAATCATATTGTAGCACTATTTAAAGCTGCAGTAGGAAACTTTATTTTAAAAAAATACTTTTTTGACATATTTGCTTACACTTCAGGTTCCTCTGGTTAGTGCTCCTAATGATATTTTTTAACGTGATTTACTGAGTTTCCAGATGGACTTGTTGCTAAAAGAAGCTTACTGTCACTTTTTATGACAAGTCCCTCTCTAGCTGCCTGTTTTTTACAGGAAACACATAAATATGCGGAAGAAAATAGCACTCTGATTTCCGTTTCATGTGGACTAAATTTAACCTTCTGGACCTGGTTTTCAGCTGGTCCACAAATAAGTCTCCTTCCTGAGAGCTTTGAATTCTTGCAGTACCATGCACAACAGCAGCACCATTTTATGCCGTGCATCGGTGTGTGAATGTGTATGAATGTGTTAGTTTCTGTTCGATGGACTTTGCCATCACTGAGTGAACGAGTGTGAAAGGCTGAATGTGCCACGTAGTGTAAAAGCGGAAGAGTGGTCAGAAGACTAGAGAGGCGCTATACAAGTACAGGTCCTTTTACCATTTACCAATATTGTCCACTGAAACTCATTCATTCATTTCAATTCAATCATTCAGGGACCAGGGCCGAATTTACACACTATTGCCGGGCTATTCAATTGGCGGCCCCAGGACTGGGACTGGCCCCTGAGGGATTTTGTACCGGCCCTTGGAGTGAAGTGTAGTTATTACATATGACCTTTAAGCCATGGTGGCAAAACAGGTAGAATATCTACCTGTTTCGGCCGGACATATATTTTGGGGGACCACACATGACCAATCAAAGTCGCCCATTCGCGCTCTGACTGCTCTGACTTTCTTTCAAGCCAAGCACGAAGCTTGGCTAACAAGAAAAAATGTCTCTCTCTACCCTTAAAAAAAAGACAAGTTGACTCAGAGAACAGGCAGTTCAACAATGAATGGACAGAAAAATACGCGTTTATTGCTGTTGATGCGAATCCTGTGTGCTTAATCTGCAACGAGTGCCTCGCCGTGTGCAAGTATAATTTGAGAAGGCATTTCAAGACAACGCATGCTAACTTTTATGCTACTTTCCCACGGGGCTCTGCTGCTCGGAGGCAGAAGATAACAGGGCTTACATCTTGTTATGAGCAAAGACATCACATTTTGTTTCGGGCCTGTACGGATCAAGAGAGAGCAACTACGGCATCGTTACGAGTGGAATGGATATTGGGCAAAAAGAAAAAGCCATTTACAGACTCAGAGACTGTCAAGGAGTGTATGCTGGCATCCATTGAGGAGGTGGTAACAGATGATAAAAGCCGAAAAAACATTATCGATTGGATCAAGCAAATTCCAATTTCTGACACGTCAAATATGAGGAGAGTCGAGTCCCTTGCATCGGACGTTTTCAAGACGCTTTTGGACAAGCTGTGGAAGGCCGAGGTGATGTCTTTGGCCGTGGATGAGTCGACTGATAACAGTGATGTTGCACAGCTGATTTCGTGAGGATCTGCTTGGACTAATTCCCATGGAGAGGCACACTACCGATGAGATTCTCTTCACCAAAATTTCTTCATTCTTTGAGGAGAACAACTTGGATTTGGCGCGCGTCAACATGCTGGTGACGGATGGTGCGCCCTAGATGGCGGGCAGGGATAAGAGGCTCGCAGGATGGCAGCTGTGACTCCGCAGGTGAGATCTCTGCATTGCCTCATCCACCAAAGCCTCCTGTGTGCCAAGCTCAGTGGTGAGTTAAAAGAGACCATGGACTCGGTCATGGCAATTATAAACTTCATCCGTTGTACCTCCAGTTTACAGCACCGCCTTTTCCGCAAGCTGTTGACTGACATGTCTTCTGAATATAAAGATTTGCTCATTCACAATGACATTAGATGGCTTAGCAAAGGAAACGCTTTGAAACGTGTTTGTGAACTAAGAGAGGAGATTCTGGTGTTTCTCCGGTCTTCAAAATTGAAAAAAGTTTCTGTCTCTGATGGAAAACGATAAGTTTAATGCCGCTGTTTGCTTTTTGAGCGACGTTTTCCATCATTTGAACCAACTCAACATGGAGTTGTAGGGCAGAGATAAAACAGTAGCAGAACTTGTGGAGAAACTTGTGTGGAAACTTCATGCTTCATGCATTGTAACACTGAAATCTATCTCCTCATTGTCAATTGAGGATAACGAGCTGTATAGTTGGTACAGTTATGTGCAATTAAGTGGATGTTTTCTGTTGGTTAATTGCATTTCTCTTATTGTCTGTGTCTCTGATATTTCAACATTGTATTGCCATTTGAATGTAACAATGCCTTAGGCCTATGTGTCTTAGTGCATCACAATGTGCATATGTTGTTCTGCATTTACAAAATAGAATGTATTGATTCCTTCAGTATGTTGTTGTAATTTCTTTATTTGTTCCCATAATTACTCATATTATCCGGCCCCTTATTTTGCCTTAGTTTCATGAACTGGCCCCAATTCCAAATTAATTGAATAGCCCTGCACTCGAATTGAAATATATTTGTTAGTTACAATACTGTAACTAACAAATGTATGTGTGAGAGGAGCACTGGGTTATTAGATTTCTGGTGGCAGTGGCATCTGTCATGTGATAAGCTCACATTGTGAAGGAAGCAGCTGTAAAACAGTGGATATATTGTTATGCCATACATGCCATCCCCTTTGTTATGAAAGGGGATGACTAAAATAAATCCCCCCTGTTAACCTTCCTCCCCCCTCTCCATCCCCTAGTACCAAGGTCACTAACAGGAGGATCCAAACACCGTCCTCTCCCAACCTAGACGGATAAACAATTAATTATTGATCATTTTAAAATTTTGACTAAGCATTTCTATTTTAACCGACACAGGTTTCTTGCCTTTACGGCACTGGTTTAATGGCCCAGGAACCCCACAGAACAACTGCATGCATTGTAAATAATCTCACCTGATGCTACTAAGCCAATCAAATCAGTGCATTCTAACAACCATTACGACTCGAGTCAGTGAGTGAGACACACACACACAGGGGAGAAACAAGACAAGTCGGAGAAATAAGTGAGTCAGAGAAAAGTAATTTCACATGGCGTGCTCTGAAAAGAGAAAAGTTTGAGAACATTCACCTCTACCAAAGGTCAGGAACATCATAAAGTCTAACTGTATTATGAATTCATTGTTTCTTTATCTGACTGAGGTTTGTGCAAGTTAGATACCAGCAGCCTAACTGCTGTGTAATCCTGGTAATTTTATACCTGGAAAGTCTTTGGCTGCATGCACCACTGAAACCAAATAGAGCCCCGCCTCCACACTGTATCCAGTTTTCTCCAGTTCACTATGTAAATATGTATTCATTAGATCTGACCCACTACCTCAAACATCCACTGCTCACTAGACAGGGCCACGGGTTAAAAATGCAGGAGCTACCCTAACCCTAAATTATATTGTGCATTAATGGCGCATATTCCATCTCAAATAATTATTAATAATTAATTAAATTAGCTACCACAAGCTAATTGCCTGTGGCCTTTGGGGCCTTTGAGGGTCTGGGCCCTGGGGCAGTTTCCTCGAACATTGGTAATCCAGTTTTGTTCATGACTCAAATTCAACTAATTTTATCCTATCACAGATATATTGGTGCAGGTGGTCCTGGATGTCTGGTTCCCTTGGCAAACTCTTCAGAGCCTTTATCTGTGTACCCCCCACATGTTTGCACCCTAGGCAACTGGCTTTTTTGTCTGTATCTTGCTGTTAACTGGTGGGCTGCAACCCACTCGTTCTAAATGGTTTTCTGATGTGTGGTCAAAAAAAATATCTTTAAAATGTTCAACTATCTGATTTTG